TTAAATTATTGTATTAGCATCATCTGTTTACTAAGTAGTACAAGAATGCAATTACAGCTTTGTTTTATTTCTTCTGTTATAATCAGATTAATTTTATGATTTATACCTAGAATTAGTATTGTTTTCAGATTTTATCAATATACTGCATTTTAGGGATGATTTAACTGATGCTTTACTTTAAAATGTGTCAATTTTTATTTCTTTTAATGAATTGCCTATAACTACAGAGATGCTGGGGATAATTAAAGAACAACTTAAAAGTAAATTTTTTTTTTAAAGTCACTTTGGTAGATTTAATTCAGAGTTAATAGACATCAGCAATTAGCTAATTAATTGGGTTAATTATAAAAAAATTCAATCAGAAAAAAGCCAGTATTTATACATAAAAAATTACCTCATATAAAGACAAATTCTGGAGTCATTTCTCCATATAACTCATTAATAACATTAGAAAGAAACAAATATAAATGTAAATTATATTAGAAACCGTTAGAAAACAAACTATTTCTAATAGTGAATGCGCTTGTATAGATTCCTCTGCTTTATGTTAATTAATATTATTTTAATGAAATTTACTGACTTGAAAAACCACACAGGTGTGAATTCAGAGAATGCTGGTATTGTCAGCTTTCATTTGCTTTTACAACTTAAATTTTTTCAGTTCCCCAGACTGGATAGTCTCCCCTGGAAACTCAAGATTACTTCAGTTGCTGGGTAAGAGATGTTTCTCAGTGTCCTCTACTTCCCCACCTGTTGGCCCATTAAATAGGTTGGTTTAGAATTACAACACTTTGTAAACTTGGAACACAGTAGCCCAGATACAAGGACAGTAGCTTACATTCACCTTAAGCATCGCCATCATGCTCCCAAGTCTGCCCTACTGGCTGGATCCCAAGTGTTCCTGTGATTCCCAGATCAAAAGCAGCTCATGCAAAAAGTGCTCTGGCCCAGTAACTTGGGTCAAGCTTCTGCCTAGTTTTCTGCACGAATAGGTCCTGCTCTCCTGCCACTGAGCCAAATTTCTGCTGCAAAAGGACAATGTATACCGTCACTGCTAGCAGTTTTCTGGAACAGAATTCTAAGTCCTTGTCTTCTGTGCCCTGTCTACTTGGCAGAATGCCATTAAGAGTTTTCCACAACAAGACTGAGCTTTTGGTTCTCTCTGGCTCCAGAACTACACCACAGGCCATCAGCAAACCATCAGCCTCCATTTCGCATGAGCTCTTGAACCAAGTGTCATTTTCAGCCCTACTCTGGATTGACCACTCCTGTTGCTCCTATCAGATTCCTATAATGCCACATTCATGTTACAGTGGTCCTTGTGCACAGAAGGATAATTTACCTTTTAGTGTATGGAAAAATCTAGAATGCTAATGGTATATTATAATGTTTATAATGCTTTCTTGCATTTTTTTTCATAGTGTTTTGCTGCTATGAGAGAAAACCACAGACTGGGTGATTTGTAAAGAGAAGAAAAATACATTTCTTTCTGAGTTCTGGAGGATGGCTGGTCCAATATCAAGCTGTCAGCATCCAGTGAGTGGCTTTTGGCTGTGTTATGCACAGCAGCGGGCATCACAGCAGGAGAGAGCTGAGGGGCATGCAAGTTCAGGTTTCTTTCTTTCTTTCTCTTTCTTTCTTTTCTTTCCTTCCTTTCTTTCTTTTTCTTTCTTTCTTTCTTTCTTTCTTTCTTTCTTTCTTTCTTTCTTTCTTTCTTTCTTTCTTTCT